ATTGTTTAAAAGTTATTTATGCAAGGTTTGAATGCATACCAGTGTTTTTATTGTTTTATGATTGCCAACTTTCCTGGTTTCCTTAAGGTAGGAGAGAACTTAACCTGTACTTCAGCAACACAAATAATCCACCTACACGTGAGCCCAGATCTGGCAAAGCAGGCTAAGACCTTCCAGTTAAAAGCATGTTGATTGGAAGCTGAGAGCCTGCTTTGTACGTCAAGAAGTTACACAAGCATGTTGTGCATATATGTAAATTATAGTCGAAGTAAGATACTTTGCCAAGTTTCCTCTGTATAGAATTCACCTTTTTCTCAAAATTTTGAAATTCAGACTTCAGCCTTTGCACTCAGGAGGGTTTTGCTCCAGCATGAGCTCTTGTACTCTAGATCTAATTTATACAGAGTCAAGAAGTAGAATAAATGACCCACCGCAGCCTTTCTTTTCCTCTTTTCTCTCCTTCGGAGTGTGAGTTGAGCACAGTAAATTCTGTTATATAGGGAGAAAAATGTTTTTGAGGCTTAAAAAGATTGAAGTAGGTGTCATGGAAGCATGTACCTTTTACATCTTCTCTGGTTCAAGCTACTGTCACCTTGATTGATATAATAGCTCCCAACAGGTCACCATGCTTCTATCCCTCCTTTGCTGTAATCTATTCTCAACACAGCAACTAGAAAGTACTTTCAAAAGTATGTTGGAGTATATCACTCCTTTGCTCAAAACCCTCCAGGGGCTCCCCATTTCACTTTTACTCTTAGTGAAATGGAGTGGTTTGGGGCCTCTGACCGCCCCTGTATAAAACAATGTCCGTAGGACGTGGTTCCATAGTGTAGCGGTTAGCACGTCTGCTTTACACGCAGAAGGTCCTGGGTTCGCGCCCCAGTGGAGCCATGGTCCATGGTCTACAGCCATGCCACCCTGGACAAGCCTGATCTCGGAAGCTAAGCAGGGTCGGGTCTAGTACTTGGATGGGAGACCACCTAGGAAGACCAGCTGCTGTAGGCATAAATAATAAAGAATTAATGTCCGTGGCCGCATTTCCACCTTCCTTCCAGAGGCAACACTAGGTGGCCACATCCTGCACTTGGTAGCCTTGGGCTGCGGTGGCTGGAGATACTTGGTTAAGAGGTGCCTTTCCCAGGTGGCAGACCCAGAAACCAGTGAAAAGGAATTTTAGATCACAGAATTTTTTTAGACAAGGCCCTGCAACCTCATACTAAGTACAGAAAAAACTGCTCTAGGGAATCTGAAAATGGAGAAGGTCCAACTTCATCAGTAATCAGGAGCAACGTGACTTGGATTTCATGGGACAAGCCTTCTCTGCTAATGGCGGTTTTCATATTGCCCCCTGCCCCTTTTTGCCATGGCAAAGTGCTTTTATAGCCCAGCTAGGTCCATGTCTCCTGTATATTTAAATCCAAAGATCCTTTCTGACTCAAACTAGAGACATCTGAAGCTGTTGCACCCCAGAATTTGATTTAGGAGATGCACTTAACACAGGTAAGATTAGTTTAACACTCTATGGTTTATTTATAAAGGATGGCCTACCTTTGCAAGCCTGGTCATTCATTATAGTGTCCCCACATGAGGTCAAGTTTAGGTTTTCTTGACAGCCTACATCTTCTGATCCTCCGAGTAAGAGTTACCTTGATGTCCAGGAGAGGCATCATCTTCCTTGGGAATTGTTTTCAGGGTCATAGTGGTTTACAGGTGAATAGATAGGCACTCAGAATTAGCGGTCCCTGATGCTCCTATAACATTTGAGGGAACACGCAGGCCTGCCAAGAGAGGAGGTGGAGGGCTGCCAGAACTGGGGAGCCAAAGCTACCGTAGGGACACAACACAGAGCCAAAACACAGCATCTCTCCAGACTTCAGGCCGGTTTCTGTCGTTCAGTGGTCACAGGTGAGCTCCCATCAAGCGCACTGAAACATCTAGTTGAGATTCTACCCTAGCAGTCTCTGTATAGACTTTTTGTTTAAAAAATGAGCTTTAGATAAGGCCAGGCTAAGCTAGATGTTTGCAAACACATCTGATTATGTCATGAAAGTACCATAAAGCAGAGGGAGTGCTTCCTGTGTGGATCGCAGGTTCCTAACCCAGAAGAGAGGAGGAGTCTCCATCCCTCCCTCCTCTAGGGAAACTGATGTTTACAAAAGAAGACACCATGGCACCTCCAAAGCATCAAATGACATCCTTCCATGTCGTGAGGACAGGGACAAGGAGATACCATTGTATTCCAGTTTAGACCTTCAGAATTTTATCCATATGATGTATTACATATTAAGAAAATTAAAGAAGCATGCTAAGTCTGCTGCAAAACAGATTCCAGAGAGAGATGTTTATCCTCTGGCAAACAAGTACCGTGTAATCCAGTTATTCCAAGTGTCAAGCTCATTAGGCTAAAAACTTGGCTTCTCACTAAACCAAGGTTACTTCAAAGCACCTAATAATCCACCGGTAAGTTTTTGTTCTTTTGCTTAAAAGCACCTGAAACCATATATAAATCCAAGAGGAAAACATTAAACAAGCTGTTTTAAGCTGAGACTATGGGCAAATAAATGTTTTCTAATTTAACTTTAGACAAACCAGCACCTGCTGCTCAGCTTCTAAATGTGTTTATTATCACCTGCTGGATTTGAAGACTTCCCTCCACCAAATTAGCAATTTGTAGGGAAGGTTGAATTTCTGGAGTTAACTGTCTCCCAAGAAATACAGACAAGGTAAGTGTTCCTTAAGTTTCAACAAGGGCTGAGCTCTCACTGCTTCTGTAGGGAGGTAATGATCTGCTCATAATGGTCAGAGTTGTGGCTGACACGCACCATGGGCTCTGCAGGCAGACGCAAGAAGAGGGTACTTGAACAGATCCAGGAGGCCTCGATTTACATGCTTTGACCCTCAAAACCAGAAAAGGTGGAAAGGCATGTTTTTCTTCACAACTGGCCAAACTGCTCTTTGCACACTGCTCTATGCAGGAGGCTTAGCGCACAGGAGCTATCTGCCTCCCTTGCTATAACTTTCAGGTCTATTGATTGACTTCTGGATCCTGAGCATCTGAAGGCATGTGTTACTCACTGCAGAGTCAAAAGATAAAAACCCACTAGGACTCAGCTGCCAAGTTAGGCATTTCTTTCAAACTCATTCTGTGAAGTCAGCATTACCCTGAAACCAAAACCAGACACGATATTACAAAAACAGAAAATTATAGGCCAGTATCTTTGATGAACATAGATGCAGCAATTTTCAAAGAAAAAAAAAAAATTAGCAAACCAGATGCAACAATACATAAGGCGGCTTATTATACACCATGACCAAGTGGGATTTATACTAGGGATGCGAGGGTGGTCCAGGACCTGTAAATGTAATACATCACATTAACTAAAAGATAAAAACCATGTGATCATCCCAATAGATGCAGAAAAAGCACTTGACAAAATTCAACGTCCTTTCATGATTCAAACTTAAGTATAGAAGGAACATATCTCAACATAAAATGCCATATAGGACAAACACAGCTAACATTCAATGGTGAAAGCTTGACAGCTTTTCCTCTAAGATCAGAAACAAGACAAAGATGCCCACCATCACCACTTCCATTCAGCACAATATTGGACATCCCGGCCACAGCAATCAGAAAAGAAGAAAGCATCTAGTTTGGAAAGGAAGAAGTTAAAACATTTTGTGTAGATGGCATGATGCTATATAGAGAAAACCCTAAAGACTCCACCAAAAAGCTATTGGAATAAATGAAATCAGTAAAGTTGCAGGATACAGAATATATAGAAATGTTCTGTTGCTGCACACCAGTAAGAAACGATCAGAAATTGAGAAAATCTAATCTGAAAACTATAGGACAGTGAAGAAACAAGGTACATATAAATGGAAGGATTAATAAAATAAAATGTCCTTGCTACCTAAAGCAATATTCAGATTCAACGTAATCTCTATTAAAATGCCAATGGCATTCTTAGAATTCTAAAATTTACATGGAATCTCAAGACTCCAAAAAGCCAAAAAAACTTTTAAGAACAAAGTGGGATGTGTGCTCCCTGATATCAAGCTACACTATAAAGCTACAATAATCAAAACAGTAAGCTACTGGAATGAAAATACAGATCAGTGGAATAGAGAGCCCAACATGGGTGGACCTAGAGTACATTAGGCTAAGATAAATCAGAAATACTGTACAATTTCACTTATATGTACAATCTTAAATAAAATGAACAAAATAGAAATGGACACAGAACAAGCTGATGGCTGTTAAAAAGTAAAAAATATATATATACACACAACATGAATGTTGTCCAGCAATTAAAAAAAAAAACTGCAATGCAGTTTTACACCAAAAAGCCATTTCTTAAAAACATACCTGCCCACTACCAGTGAGAAAGGAATCCACAGGTCTCAGCTCAACTGCCCCCCCACCCAATTAGACTCTAAAATATTTCAGGTGACCAATGTCCCAAAAAACCCTTTGCATAAGTTAATGTCTTAGGTTTCTCATCTGATATGTGCTATAAAAATAAAAACACTGGTGAGTCTGTCCCCGGCTCTGCCGGGCTCCTGCCTCCATTCGTTTGGTTGTGAGGAGCGGGGCGCAGTGCTCGAACTGACCCGTGGGCCCTTTCCTGTTCTTAATGGTTTTTATTCTTTTGTCTCTTACTCTTCTGCAAAGTACTTAAAAAAACACACGTTGGCATCGGAGCTAAGTTCAAATTTTGACATGGCCGCCTTTTAACAAATTTTAGGTAAGTTCTTTCTCAGAGGTTGGGATCCCCATCTGTGAAGGGAGGCAGTACCTATTTCAGAATGCTGGCGATAACCTTAAAGCTCCTAGCACAATACCTGGTCTCCGTCAGCAGTGACTCCTTAGGGAAACTTACTACGATGCAGCATTTCTGAAGGTGCACCCTCCCTTGGGAAGGAGAGTTCTAGATCTGGTGCAGATGCCCATTCGTGCTGTACCCAAGTGAATCAGAAACTGACCAGGACAATGTAAATAAAAACATTTTGAAAATCTAATTTTATTCCTAAAGTTCAAATTAGCTAGCGGTAGCACGGAAAATACACTTTCACTATACAAAACAGTGTAAACCAATTACACATTAATAAAGAATTTAACATACACACTTCTCTAATGAAAAGCAGCTAGATGCAGCCCTTGCTATAAAAAGCTGTACCTGAACAAAAATGGACATGTTTAGTCTAAGGCCCTGGCAGTTGACTATAGAATGTCAGTTGCTTCCAATTACTTTTAAATGCAGAAATAGCAACAATGTGGAACTGTACATTCATCGAATAGTAGCATTTAAAATATACATGACTAACAAAAATGAATATTCGGAGGTGGCACTGCTCACTGTGTACCGTGACGGTCACCATGTGGACAGTGATCTCATCCAGGGAACTGAAGATTCAAACATTTGAGTAATTTAAAACTAGGAGGAAGGAAAAATAAGAGGATAAATGCCCTCCAAAGAGCGAGGAGCTGATGCCATAAGCAATCTGACTTCAGCAATTACTGATCACAGATGTGATGAAGCCGGGCCGAACCTGGGTTGCTGAGCAAGTCCACAGGCTGACAGGCATATGGCATGGACCGATGTTGCTGTAATTTAGGATGAATCTCTGTCCCTAATTAGTAGTGAAAATAACTTCTAAAAATAGCTTTGAACGGTAAGTGTCCAGGCCCTTCTGTGTACTGAAACATCTGGGCTCAGGCTCGGAGGCGAGTGTCCTGTCGGGGACCTGCGTCCTGTTGGGACAGCCTCTGCTTCAGGACTTGAACACGTGCACAGCGCGCACCACGTACTGCCGGCAGATGGGACACTCGCTCATGCGCTTGCCACACTTGGTGCAGGTGACCATGTGGCCACACTCGAGCAGGACACAGTCGATGACGGCATCCATGCAGATACGGCACAGGCTGTCATCCTCCTCATCCTGCAGCTGCAGCCGCTCACCATCTGAAAGGCAACAGAGAGCTGGGACTGCCGACAAGGACTCCTGACAGGCGGAGAGCCACCTGCTGAGTGACCGTGGCAGGCCCAGAGTGACCCTACCGTAAGAAATAACTTACCCAATTTCTCTGCACTTCCCTCCACTAGAAATGGCAATAATACAGCCTAAAATAATACAGGTAGGGTGTTCTGTGATGGATAAAGGAGACATGCTTAGCTTAGGGTCAGGAATGAGATGCCCAACAAATGTTAGCTATTTGATTCTATATATAATCCAAGGTTTTTGTTAAAAGGACAGATTGTCTCTGTAAATAACAACAAAGAAACCCTAAGTTGTCCTAAACATGGACTATGGAGTCAGAATACCACTGGCCTGTCCAGCCCACTCGTGTGGCCTTGAGAAAGCTGCAGTCTCGGGAGCCTCCTCCCAGTAGGAAGAGGAGCTGTTCATCCCCACTGATAGGGAAGTGACGAGGGGCGGTGCATGGAGTAGCCTACACACCCCGACACATCTCCTGGCCTTGGAAGCATCTCGAAAGCTGTCTGTGTTTCTGGCCATCACGGTACTGCTGGAGTCTAACTCAAAAAGGATGGGCCATCCTGGCTCTGGCTCAGATTAGGTTCTAAGAAAATCCAGAATCTGAATAAGAAAGGTTGTGAATGAGTTTAAAAAGTTCTTTTCAGCTGAGTTTTGGCTACAGAACTTTGGCTACTGAGGCTTCCCTTTCTACAGGTCACAGAAAGGCTCAATGGGAATCCTGAATATGGTTAGAATATGGCTAAAAACAGGAATTCAAGCTTGAAAAGCTAGTAGTACCCGGATTTAAGAAAAATAAACATTGTCATGTCGAGATTACTGTAAACTGGTTCATGGCCCATGCCACTACTAGAGGGTGGGCAGGAAGGATCCATGAGATAAGATGACAGATGAGCTGATGGAGAAGACAGTAGAAGGCTTTTGAGAGTTAAGTTTGGGCTTTGGTTTCCTCTCCTGTATGGAAGGTTCCTTCCAACTCTTACAACTTCTGAACATACAGCAGAGGAGCCAGAGTCTGCCAAAGCTATTGGATAAGGGTACTGGGGTGAATCTCGTCCTGAATGGCTGAAGCCAGTCAGGCTAAGAAAGATTCTAGCTGTGCTCAAAACAAAATGTGTTCCATGAGCTTGGAGATTGGACCAGTGATAGACTGAGCAGTGAGTTAACTGAGAAAGGCACTTAGGCAGCCATGCATGTCATGGCTGCCTCTACCATAAACTCCCTGAGGGTGGGAGAGGCCGCACTGCCAGCAAGCACTGTGCACAGTTGGCATTTACATTTTCTATGTAAACCGACCTCCCCTCACCACCAGGATGCCATTTCCCAGCCACAGCCCACAACCTCAGGAGGCTCTGAGGATTAAGAGTCCTTTATCTACCACTGTAGCATCATCTCAGGAATAGGTGTGCCAAAATACTTTCTACATATTCTAGGCATAAACCCATTGGTCAACAAATGCTGTATTATAAAAACCAGCTTTTAAAGATGATAAAAAGTTAATGATGGGAGGGGAGTGTTTCTGGTTAAGTCCAGATAAGAACACAGTATTTGTCAGTCAACATCACAGAATTCTTTTTTCTTGCCTATAAATGCTCTGTGGCTTGGCCCTTGTTAGCCACTGAGGATTCCTGCTCCACGCTTCAATAAATACTTCAGAAGTTCTTAACCTCGGCTTTTTTGCAACTTACACAGAAACCTACTAATACTTGATGCTGATAAATACTTAACATCTTGGCCTAGGGAATTGTTTTTCCACAGTTAAGATTTAAAAGGTAAACTGAAATAACCAAAATATTGGCCTACCTGAAGGGTTAGTGAGAAAACAAGCATTTTTGTAGATACAGGAATTTCATTAGACTTCTAACATATTATGGCAAGAAAAACCAGACTGAGCAAATGATTATCTAACTCACTTGGCAATGGTGGTCTCAGAGCCAGCATCACAGAATGAATTTAAAATGTAAAAGATCTGTAAATGTTCATATAACTAAGTTGCACTCAATTAAATGATACATAATTTTCTCAGATATTAATCTGACTTAATTGTGACAGAAACAGCCCAGTTTCTAAAGCCTAAGTAAGGATACTATAGGGGGAAAAGGAAAAATTAACTTACATGACTTTTGGTTTTCTTCATTCTCTTTGTACAACCGGTTGACTTTCTCTACCAGCTCCCATTTTTCACAGCAGCCAGAATAGTTGACAAAATTCCGAGCCAGGATTTCCTTCAGCTGGCGCACGCTCATCCCTTCCACGTCCTCAAGGCTTGACAGGTCAGACAGTGAAGCTCTCACTCTTTTCTTAGAGAGGCCAGGCATCTGAAATCAAAAAGCACTTCTATTACCTCTGTCCCTCTAAATCCAGACCTCCCACAGCAAGGAAAGCGACATGCTTCCCTCACCCCATAGTTATCACTGGCCCTGGACAGTGCTTTCGGACTTGTCAGTCCTTAAAGTGTTTTATACGTGTGCTATATTCAAAACAGAGGAACATTCTGTGCTAATCTAGCAAAAATGCACATAGGTATTTTTCCTCCCTGCCAGGGTGACATGTCAGGAAAACCAAATTTTATAGGATATCTCACCGGTTCCTCCAAGTTTTCTTCATCATCATCATCATCGTCATCGTCATCATCGTCGTCATCGTCATCATCATCTTCTATGTTTGCTGAGGCTATTTCACTCTGTACCTATACACATAATGGAGCTAGTTGAGTCCAGAATCACATTTTCCTATTGACCCATATTTACCACTGGAGAAAACCTTCCCACAGACCCTCCCCAAGAAGGCCCCCACACCGGGTACACTACGCAGCTCCTCTGGATCCTGAGTGCTGCCTCGCCTCCCAAAGAATTGGGCCCCACGCGATTCCGTAAACACCCCTTCCACAAAGTTACCACAAAAGCCAAATTCCTCGGTGTGTATGAATTTATAAAACCTAACCAGGATACATCAACTCCCCTCGGAAGATCCCAACACGGAACGCCAAAGCCGTAAGTGTATGGAATTGTAATGAGTCACTACCAAAGGACCTGCATGTGGATAGTTTTAACTGGAGCCTCTAAGATACAGAAAGAAACTAAAGCTCTAATATCAGCCCAAGTGTCAGGTATTTGAAAGATCTCAATCTTAATTCCAAAGGATACTTTCTGGACTTGGCTAATGGCTGATGCTAGTTCTAGTTTTTAGAAATTCCTCAACAGTCGGAGGTACTCTTTTCTTTAGGAAGAACAGAAATCCCTTTGATTTGGTGTATGTACTTCTTTCATATCTTTCTCCTATGGCTTTTTTTTTTGACCATAGCTCTACAATAGTCTAAGTCAGTTCCCAGTTTCAAATATTCCATTCCACTGGTTCACAAGCACCATATGGTAGCATCCGAAGACCCATACCTCATGTGTGATGCCCCAAAACTCAGTCTTGTCTTGTCTTTGCCTAATAATTATGCCAGCTCTCATTTGAGAAATGATAAAACTTTTAGCTTGGCCTTTTCAAATTTGACTATTTAGAAGACAGACACACAAATAGTCCCATGAATGTTTATATGCTACTTTTTAGTCATTTCAATAGTTAGTATTTAAGATAGGGAAACTGAGGTAAACAAGGTCAAGACTGATGAGTTGTTCTGGGGCCCTTCGGATAGCTGACTTTGGGGTCACCTAGCTTCTAAGCTCAGAGACTCACATTAAGAGAGCCTATAAGCACAGAGATCAGGAGCATGTGGAACCTCTGCTTCCATGAGGAGCCATCAAGCCCCAAAGGGCCCCCCGCACATGGCTGAGAACAGAAAGGCCAGGCCCTCGGGGTAATGACTCCCTCGTACCTGTGCCAGCGCTCCAGATCTTAAGGTCCAGTCTCCACCCATAAGCTCCCCCTGAAACGAAGACATGGTAGCAGAAGGGGCTGTATAGTTTGAAAAAAATGAATGTGTGTTGAAAAAGCTAGAATTCTGGGACCTTGAAGAATTCAGACTGCTCGTGTCCAGGCCGTCCTCAGAGCCCAGCCCGTGATGGCACAGTACTAGATCTACCAAGTCTTCCTTCTCCCGACAGGTGTCAGTTGGTATGTTTCTAAGAACGAGATACTGCCGCAGATCCTTCACTTTCAGTCGCATTAACTGAGGGCGCTGAAAGGCCGTCTGTTGTAGTAAGTGACAAGTGGAACATCTACGAAGATTTTCTTGTAAGACCGAACAAAGAGAGCAAAAATCCTTCTTGCAGTCACAGCATACATGCTGAAGAAACAGAAAAGAAGCATTTAATAACAGCCAGATACGAGCCATCGTGAAAGCATTCGTTTTCTTTCTTTTTGCCTTGTATTAAAATTCAATTCTAGTTCTTATGAAGTCCTCTGTGGTACTAGACTATTCTCGCAGGCGTTTTTGTGTTCCAAAAGCCATGAAAATTCAGTCACTGCTAAAGCAGTTTGGATACACAGAAGTTCAAATACAGCCCTTTAAGAAAAATATACACTCTCGTGTTAATGAATTAGAACCTTTCCACCCCTTGGTGCAAACATGTAATTAGCAGAAGAGAGCTGACTTGAACCACATGGAGCACAAAGCGCAACCACAAACTCTTCCTGCTCTTTCATATATGAACAATTTCCCCATTTAAAAAGGGGGTGGGGAAGCACAGCAGAAAGAGGCAACTGATCTCTCAAGGTCAATCCAAGCAAATAGAGCACAAAACTGATACCAGTAATCTGCACCCTACACAGCCTTAATCACAAAGCCATTCCACTATCAAAACTTAAAGAAGACCCTAAGATGGGGTCATTTCTGCTTGGTGCATTGTTCCCACAAGCTAACACCTCGTTCCTTAAGCATTTCAAAGGACTGAATTGACAATCAAAGACTGTGAGATGGCCAGCAATATGATGGTTCTCAGAAAAAAAGACGTTCTGTCCTAGAGAAAATAATTGTTAACCCAAGTGTTTCATGTTGAATTTCTAAACAGTAGTTAACATTTACATTCATTTCTTCAGTCAATTTAATAATATAGGTAGGGACACATTTTTTTGAAACTTGAGATCAGTTATAGTAAATCATCTCTGAACAAAACTACAGACTAATATCTCTTGCTTCAGAACACAAGCACCATCAGGAGGAATCAAAGTATACAAACAGGCCAGAGATCAGGAGAAAGGATGCCTGCGCACCAATATCTAGTCAGAAAACTTGATAGTAATATATAGTCCCTTCAACTGAGTACTCTTCTAAATAGGAAATGGTTAATAAAAGTAACTTTGATATTTTTATTAAAAGAAATGGTTCATAAGATTTCAAAATTATATAAAATTAAGAACTGATATATATATCTTTTGTATGTAACATTTAATCAACTCACCTTCTTTCTAAAGACTGAAAATGAAAGTCCACAGGCTTTGCAAACTATATTAGGCCCTTCTGTAGGTGCTGGTGGGTAAGTGGAAAAACTCGAGTTTGTAAATCTGAATGGACCAGTGCCTCCAGCAAATCCTGACTGCTGGCCCCTGACAGCTCCGGTTCCCATGACTTCATTCAGCAGCCCACAGCATGAAGCCCACATAGAGGTGGCACCCGCCTGGAAAGGGAACACAAGTAGAGACCAGTTGAAAGTTAAGTAGAACCTGGGCTCTCTGGGATCCTCGGGGTGTGCCATTCTGGAGAGATAGGTTTGTCCTAAATAACTCTTGAAGTTTTTCTTTTAAGCATCAAAATTTTAAGCTATTTCGAAAGAGATAACTTTCTGATATTTGAAAAAAATATTTGGCATTGGGAATATTCATGATATATTGTTAAACCGAGGGAAAGACAGAAGATGAACCAAAGTATATTAAAAAACAAAACCAACACATTCAGAGAGACATGTGCACGCACATAGGAAAAAAATGACTGGATAGAAGTATAATATACTGTGCAATACTTGGGGTGTGTTTTCAAAATATTTTTTTTATCTGAAACTCAAATTTAATTGTGCATCCTGTGTTCTACCTGACTACCATACTAGAAAGCGCAGTTCTATAGGCTGAGGCAGATTTCCCCAGCTATCATTTAGTAGAAATAATATAATTTCAAATTACTTAATTTCATTAAGCTTCTGTTCTCTCATTTGTAGCTGGGCATAATAAACTATGGCACATATAAAATTTTAATTTTAAAAAAATGGCTGGGAAAACATCAAAATGCCAACTTAGGCTCTCTAGGTTTTAATGTATCTTGTATATTTTGAGTTTTTATCTACTTTCCAAATTTTTTTATAAAGTATGTCTTAATTTGACATTAAGGAAAATATTTTTAAAAAGCAGTTTTCCTACCTTTTTAAACTGAAAATACTGAACATAATTTTCGATGACCTAAGAACCATAAAGACTTCCCAAAGTGTATGAGCTATTTGCCACTCCACTAAATGGCCTGAAACAAATATACTGCCTTTTATAGATTTATCTCTCATCTCTTCTCTTTCTATGAACCACCAGTGCTATCACTATACCAACATCTAGCAACCTATCTCCTTTTTTACTGCAGACTCAGAAACCTGATAACCAAGCTTGTTAGAAATATAGATATTTGTTTAGTGAGGACACAAGGCATTTTCCATGCTTAAAGTATAAAAGTTATAGTGTTTGGAACCAATGGGCTTTTACCCCTTGTCCTAATTCTTAAGCATATTCTAGACTCTAGATCATGTGATAGGTAATGAAGTCCAGGCAGGTGAGGTCTTAATAGTTAAAATGGCAGCACATGACAGTGGCACAGTTCATTTAATTCACTGCCAAACATTCACTGTTTGTCCAACAAGCTCTTAAAAAAAATTTTTTTTTTTTTTAACAATCTTGAAAGGCTATTTGGAATGCTACGGAAGGATCATGCTATTCTTAATACCCAGAAGTAAAATGCTGTATTAAATTTAGGGAAAGGAGAAGGCAAAGCAATAAGAAACCACAATATAAGGTTCAAATGGTAATAAGTATCAGGGTCACTGACTTAAGTATTATATAACTTCACGCTCTATAATTCTCAAGAAATAGTGATGCCTTTAAAGGTCAGGCTAAATTGTAGTTAATAGTTCATACCTTTAAACAAATATATTATCTCAGACTCTAGTGCCATGGTTTGTTTAAATATAAAAGGATGAAAATCCAGATTTACTAACAGTTCATTTTAAGTGAGTGTTCTTTTACCAAAGGATTCATCTACAGTGCTTCAAACAGTGAGCTCTTAAAACTGAAAATGTTTTAAAACATTCAATTTGCACATAACGTTTTTTGGGGGGGTTATACCTCAACTGTAGAACGTACCACTGGGATAAACTATTCTTCATTCCAGGAGTTTAAAGAAGTAAAGTTTTGGAGAAGCTTCAGCTTGCTGACCTAGCTACTGAACAATTAAACAGCTGACCTAGCTACTAAACAATTTTATCCCCTTTTTGATTTCCTGGGAGATGATGTCTCCCCAGCTCCAGTGAAAGTTCCTTTCTTTCTTCCACAGCATCTAGTTCTACCATCACAACTGATAAGTATAGAACTATGTAAAGGTTTCTTTACCTCTTTAAAGGCAATGTAACATTATTTAAATTTTCTGCGCTACTTTGGAAGTTCGAATTGTCTTACTGAGAAAGAGTAATAAAGGTAAAAAATGATTTTGACCTAGCATGCTAAAATCTCAAATGATATTCCCTTTTAAAAGCAGCAGTCAGACATTTTGTTCGATCAGAATCAGCTTCACAATGAGAGTTAATCCATGCTAATGAATATATATGATCATTAAATTCTAGGCTGAAAACATTCACAGCTCATGTAAAGGGAACAGAAGGATTTATTTTGGGAACACATTGGAATCTCTGTGTAGACATCAATACTGGAGGGTAACAATTTTGTCCCACTCCTCATGTTTCTATAAAGAGGAGGGAATTTCATCTTTATTCCCCAGAAGGGAAAACAGTGAAAAGAACACTCTTATCTTCTTTTGGTCACCTTATCATAAAATAAAAATTAAAAAAGAGCCCAAGCCAACCCCAGACTGTTGTTGCTATAACCTAATATTTGGTACAACTCAATCGAAGACCATAGCAGGAGAAAAGAGTAATCACTGAAATATCTAGGGTTTGCTCTTAGATCTGTGAACTTAAATTTGGACAAAACCTCCCAATAAGAGAATACTCTCAGCATTATCTTGAAGGGTAAGTCTTTCTACCTGTACTGTTATCCTGACAGTAGCACTGGAAACTCCAGCCTTCTTAAAAGGTCAGAAATTTGAAACAGTGGAAGCCCCAGTCATTAGTTTTATTTTCCATGCAGCATATTTTCAAAACTTAATTTCCATTTCTCCTTTAATCCCTGTGTTTTCTAGCACCCCAGTGCTCAAATGAAGGTGCTTTCTTTTGTGATTTCAACCTCCCCAACTTCTCTGGAGCAGTTATTTTTAGTCCTGTACCACAGTGGTTGCTGTTGCTGCCTCTTGCTAAGGAAATGCCTGGGCCTGTGAAACCACCCTTAAGACAGTGGTTCACCACCACCAGGGGAGCCTTAAAAAATACTGATGCCTGGGTCCCAGCCAGAGATTCTCACTTAACTAGTCTTGGTACAGCCTGGGCATCAGAATTTTTTCAAAATTCTCCATGTGATTTGAATGTACAGCTGGGGTTAAAAGGTTAACAACTGCTCAGTCTAGGGGATTTCTCCTTCCTGCCTACACGGTTTTAGCTGGAGAATCACTTGCAGCAGATTCCTGAACACAGGGGGTCTATAGTTACTTCAGAAGCCTATGTCTCTAGAACTCTAAAACCAACAATCTCAGCCATATGCTCCTCATGACCTGTCTACATTTTTTCCCGCTGAAGTCGTGGGACTTGCCTCTAGTGTTTCTTTCTCTCTATGGTTTCCCCTAATCCTTTCAGAAAGGGTCAGCTGAGTGTTAACGTAATCTGATTCTTAAATTAGTTCCTTTCTTTTTGCCACATATTGGCCTGAAACTTGCTGGAATTTGGTGCCTGCCTTCATTTACTTGAACTTTGCTTTCTGGCCCAAACTTTGTATTTCCTAACTTATTCTTCTACAGGTTTTCTTGTGTGAAATCTCCAATACTGAGAGAAAGACAGTGATTATTAGGTCTGCCAAAAACAGCCAGTATTCTAACTATTTTTGTCCTCCTTCATCTCTAAGTTGGAAGAATCTACCCAGAAGATGAATCCTCCCAGGCTTGGGCTCCATCTCCCCAACCCCCCACCCGCTTTAGTATGTGTTGTCCATGTAATGATGATTGAAGTATCACCCCCTTTAGTATGTGATGTTCATGTAATGATGATTGAAGTATCCTATACTGACTTTTTCAGATTTGTCCAAATTTTCTTACTACTTGATACAACAGTCCCCATTTTCAAGTGACAAAATCTATAAAAACAATTGGGGAACTATTTGAGAGTATTTTCCAAAAGTTTATTAAATGCGGGCTCTTGACAGGTGGGGGGCATGCCAATTTATTCTCTGAGCTCTTAACTCTCTGACTCTGTTATATTAAATGCGGGCTCTTGACAGGTGCGGGGCATGCCAATTTATTCTCTGAGCTCTTAACTCTCTGACTCTGTTATATTTCCCAGTTATATCTGGTCGGGTAATGACCAAAAAGCTTCCCCTTTTTGTACCCTCCCTTTAAACGCTTTAGAGACCTAAGTTCATTGTTCTTTCCATTTGTCTTCCCTACCCTCTAAGATCTTCTGTCAGTTCAATCAGCCTGAATTCCTGTATTTTTATTTTATTCGCTCTCTGCTCAACTTTTGGTACTAAATTAAAGAATATATTCGCTCTCTGCTCAACTTTTGGTACTAAATTGAAGAATATTTTTATTTTATTCGCTCTCTGCTCAACTTTTGGTACTAATTGAAGAATATACTCCTAGATTGCCTCATTTCCTAAGCAAACAAGGCATACACCTTTGGCTCTTTGAATTTGCAGTAAATTCACTGAGTCGTTGCTCTGCCTTAATTTCAAAGAGGTCTATTTGTTACAGACAGGTGTCACCATGCATCTTTTATTTGCTTATTTAAAAAAGAACACTTACTGCCCTCCACGAATGAAGCCGAAGCCTAGATTGCTGAAAACTGAAGCTATGATCTGGGCCTACGTGACTTAACAATTCTAAATCCTACTGGGGACCATGGTTGGGAGGACTTTACAAACAAGCTAAACTACATGAATCCAAGAGGTTAGAAAGAATAATCTGTAAAGATGTCTACATTTCCTACTTTAACCGTGAATGTAGTTCAGAACAGAGAGAATAACCAAAACAGGCAACTATCTACCTATGCCTGGCACAAAACTCCCAGCGGAAGGAATTTAGCTATATTTACAGTTTATTTTCTAGCCATCAGCGGCTACTGAAAATAAACGACTTTGATAATTGAATCCCTTTCCAACACAGCCTCTTAGGCCAAAATTGGTCCTGAATAGATTAGCTCTGGGACCATGGCCTGCCTAAGTTTTATGTTAAGAACCAGGTACCATATTAAAAAACTTACATGGCCCATAGTAAGAAATTAAATTTTAAAGCCTCCTGTCTAGACTGCCACAGACACTTAGATTTCCT